GGTGCGGCCCGTGGAGGACGGCGAGATCCAGGGGGTGTGGCTGCTGACCGAGTAAGCCGGGGCTGCGCGCTCCTCGGTGGGGGGACCCGCTCCTAGCCACCGCGCAGCACCTTGCGGGGACCTCCCAGCGTGCTACGCTCAGGCGCCGCGCGCCGCCCCTGCTGCCGTTTCAGCCGGGCTGGCCTTGGCGAAGCCGAGACAGCCGTGTCCAGGGTGGACCGAGGCCCCTCCTCTTCCTGCAGGGTGGATCACTGGAACAATGAGAAGGAGCGGCTGGTGCTGGTCACCGAGCAGTCCCTGCTCATCTGTAAATACGATTTCATCAGTCTCCAGTGCCAGCAGGTGGTGCGGATAGCGCTCAACGCGGTAGATACCATTTCCTACGGAGAGTTCCAGTTTCCCCCTAAATCACTCAACAAGTAAGTGTGTTCAGAGCCCAATATCACTGCGCCAAAAAAGGAGCGACTTCTGGGCAGTTGAGTGCATTAAAAGGAATTCTGGCACAGAAGCCAGCTATTAGGCTTGTAGTAAAAAGACTTGCATGAGTTTAAGATGCATTGAAGTGGAGCCCAACGTGTTAAAGAGGAACTTGGATGTTCTTCAGGTAAAGGCCAGACTGCATTTTATTTCCAGCCAGGGACAGATTGCATGACGCATCAGGTCTTACTCTGGCTAATTTTTAAAAGAGAAAAGGAGGGTGCCACTTTATAGATACCACTAAAAGACCAATTTGGAAATATTTAATGACTAACTTTCAGGAGTTGATCTTTTTGCTGTAGGATAATTTTCTGAACTCTGAGAAACCTAGACAATATACAGTCAGTTAAACTGTAGAACTGAGATTTTTGGTGTAGAGATTTGGATGAGGAATTCAGGAAGCTAAAATGAGTAAACATTTTAACCCACATTTAATATGACACAAGGAAAAGGTTACACTTCCTTTTCTCTCATTTGGCCAGCCTATCTATAATTATTCCTCCCTTCCTTTTTTTTTTTGAGACAGAGTCCCACTCTGTCACCCAGGCACCAGTGGTGCACACTTGGTTCACTGCATTCACCTCCCAGGCTTAAGTGATCCTCCCACCTCAGCCTCCCAAGGAGCTAGGACTACAGGTGCCCACCACCACGCCCAGCTAATTTTTGTATTTTTTTGTAGAGATGGGGCTTGGCTAGGTTGCTCACGCTGGTCCCAAACTTCTGGGTTCAAGAGATCTGCCCATCTTGGCCTCCCAAAGTACTGGGATTACAGACGTGAGCCACTGTGCCCAGCTGGTATTCCTATTAATTTTTAATCATGTAAATATTACCAAAGTAATACATTTAATAACCAAAATATATTTGCTATAAGTACAGTTTTTTGGTTTTTTTTTNTTTTTTGAGACGGAATCTTGCTCTGTTGCCCAGGCTGGAGTGCAATGGCACAATCTTGGCTCACTGCAATCGCCACCTCCCAGGTTCAAACAGTTCTCCTGCCTCAGCCTCCCGTGTAGCTGGGATTGCAGGCGTGTGCCTCCACGCCTGGCTAGTTGTTTGTATTTTTGGTAGAGACAGGGTTTCACCATGTTGGCCAGCCTGGTGTCAAACTCCTGACCCCAGGCGATCTGCCCGCCTCAGCCTCTTAGAATGCTGGGATTCCAGGCATAAGTCACTGCGCCTAGCTTGTAAGTACTTAAAGCAATTGTTAGTGGAGATGAAGTTACTCTTAAAAACCACAAGCCATTTTCCACTGTGATATGTCAGGTATTTTCTGTAAACATGAAAATGCTCTTTACTGTCATATGCTCCTAACCGTAAGATTGTCAGGTTGTCCTTGAGAGCACTGTGGCCTGCCATGCTCAGTCTGGCTATTTCTTCTAATTTGTCAGGCGAGAAGGTTTTGGGATTCGAATTCAGTGGGACAAGCAAAGTCGCCCTTCCTTCATAAACAGATGGAATCCCTGGTCTACCAACGTGCCCTATGCCACTTTCATAGAACACCCAATGGCAGGTGCAGATGAGAAGACAGCATCTCTGTGCCAGGTAAGAAGACAGGCCCGGGATGCCGCACCCCCGCAGTGACGGAACCATTTCAGGTCTGCACTCACCAACAGCCACGTGACGCTGCTGCTGAGCACTTGAGACGTGGCTAGTAACAGTGAGAGAGTAAACTCATGATAGAGTTTATTCTCTAAGTTTTTGGAAGTTCCGGTTAATTTATGTTGAAGTAGCCCCATGTGGCCAGTGGCTACTGGTCAGCATACCTCCATAATGTGGCCTCCTGAGGGTGGTGATCTAGGTGGAGACGGGTCCCACTGGACTTCAGAGAACGGCAGCAGAGCCAGCCGTGCCAGCTGACCAGCGCAGATGCTCACCAGGAGAGGAGGCCTCGGGGCTGGGGTTAGAGCAGAGCCTACAGCCTGGTGGGGTTCTGCCCTTCCCTGGCTGTGCACCTCGGCCTGGTTACCCACCTGGTAGGTAACCTGGAGCCTGTACACAAGAAGGGCTCTGCACACGCCGGCTGCCACTGGCCGCAGAAGAGCATGGTGGTGAGATTTCCACACACCTGGAGCGCTCCGTGGGGAGCGGAGCTGAGGGACTCCCAGGATGTGGCAGAGGCAGCTCCTTCAAGTGAGGGGAAGAAGAGACAGGTGGCATCTGGAGGGATTAAGTGTCTCAGGATGCTAATTTTTCCAAGTAATAGATGCTCTTACCTTGCCTAACAATTAAAGCTCCATGTTTTTCTCTTTTTAAAGTTGGAAAGCTTCAAGTCTCTGTTGATCCAAGCTGTGAAGAAAGCCCAGAAAGAAAGCCCCCTGCCGGGACAGGCAAATGGCGTTCTGATCCTGGAACGTCCCCTGCTCATCGAGACCTACGTGGGACTCATGTCCTTCATTAACAACGAGGCTAAGCTGGGCTACTCCATGACCAGGGGCAAAATAGGCTTTTAGCCAGCTGCATTCTGGGAGCTCCTCCCCCTCCCCAGAAAGCCAAGGGATGTGGGGGCTGGGGGCCTGGCATTCTTCATGCTGTCCTGCTGTCAGCTAGGAGGATAGGGGTCCTTTACCTTTAGGGACCGCGGCACAATTAGAATAGTAAAGTGAATTCTCTATATTTAATTGGATATTGGACTCTGCTAATACAAGCTACAGACAAAAGCAAAAAGACTTGCTGCCGCCGTGCTGCTGGTATCCATCCTGTGTAACTTCAGTTCTGGTGTCTTCCTCGAGTATCTCCTTGGCTTCTTGTGGTTCTTGCCACCCCAGCATGCTGGGACCCTCAGCATGCCGCTTACTGCTTGCGTACGTTGCTAAATACCGGGAGGCACCGGGTATCTGAGTGCCTGCAGTTGCCAGTATGTTTACACTTGGTGTCAAATTTTGTATTTTAAAATGTAATCCATTTTTACTTCAGCTCATCCAAAAGCAGCCAGCAGACTGGTTCAGTGAGGTCAGCCTGCACCCGCAGGACCCTCAGTGAACTGTTGTTCTTCTGTAAATGGTTGACCTAAACTCACACTTTTTCTAAAATTAATCCAAGCTGTGGTAATACTTAAGGTATCTTTCCCAGACCCAAAAAGGTTTACAGAAAATCATTTTAAGACAATTAATTTGAGAAGCTCACCTTGACAGTTCTTTGCACACAGTTTTTACATCTCTCTGTATTCTAAGTTTGTATTGTATTCATATTTAAAAGGGAGTTGAGTAGTTTGCTTTTCGAATAATGCACTTTAAAAAAAAAAAAAAAAAGGAACCATATCAGGCTGGGCATGGTGGCTCATGCCCGTAATCCCAGCATTTTGGGAGGCTGAGGTCGGCAGATCTTACTAGCTCAGAAGTTCGAGAGCACCCTGGGCAACGTGGTGAAACCCGGTCTACCAAATATACAAAAATTAGCTGGGCATGGTGGTGCATGTGTGGTCCCAGCTACTCAGGAGACTGAGGCAGGAGGATGGCTTGAGCCTGGGAGGTGGAGGCTGCAGTGAGCCGAGATGGTGCCAACTGGCCGCACTCCAGCCTGGGTGACAGAGTGAGACTCCGTCTCTCAGATGCTTGTGAAGCAGCTGATGCCCGCCTTGGCTTCTACAGCTCCCTCATAGACTGGGGCTTTGTCCAAGTCTCGCACTGAACACACCTGGGCTTTGACATGCCTGGATTTCCCCACAGGGACCCACGCACCTCCCTGCATCCACGCAGCTTGCTCGGGTGGCTGGAAGCGCTGTCAATAAGCTTCACGTGCTGGCTTACCGGCTCTCTCCCTTGTCTCTAGGGCTGTGCTGGCTTTAAGTGAGTGGCGTGCTGGGGGCGAGTGTGGCCGCCTGCAGGATGCGCAGGGCTGCCTTGGAAGCTGGCCGGGGACTCCAGCGTCTGTGTTCATAAAGCATTTAGAACTGGATGGATGTTGTTCCTTTTTTGAAGTTGTTATTAAAATAGGTGCAACAGCCAAGAAAGAGTGTGTCCCTGTGTGAATGCCCGCCCCGTCTCGGGCGGCTCTGCACCTGCTGCCTGTACTGTGAGGACCGTCTCTCACAGGGGTGCTGAGTGTGGGTCCTGCAGAAAGAGGCCACGGTACGCAGCAACCTAGGTTTGTGGCCCTGATCCCCCCACCTGGGGTGCCAGGCAAGCCTGGCTGCCTGCCAGGCACTGGCTGGAGAGACAGATGGAATTGTTCTGGGTACTTCTAGGTGCTTCCTGCAAACAGCCAGGGTGGAGACCCACACTCGCTGGCTCTCAAACAAGTGGATGTGAGACTCCCTGAGAAGCTGACCGGACCTGGGGGTGGCATTGTGCTTGGGTGCCAGGGCTCCCTTCCCACACTTCAAAGCAGACCCACGGTGGGGAGGCTGGATGTGCCCCACGGAGATCCAGCCCTTGTTCTCCTAACACATCCAAACAGAACCCAGAGCAGCGTGGGTGTCTGGTGGGAGCTCAGTGGCCTGGGGCTCAGTCACTGTCCATCTTCCGTTAAGACTGACCAGAAACTCAAACCTAGAAAACCTCGCTGCAGCCAAACTTTTTGAGAAGTAGCTGTATGAATTCAGCAAATATTTATTTTAAATAGTAAAAACTACAGTTTTATACATATTTACAAAAATGCTTTGCTATAGAAAAATAGAATCAGATCACTGAGTCCGGCCCATCTCAGGTGGAGAACTTCGCCGAGAAGCCGTTTTCTCCCACACGGGAAATGCACAGAGCGCCCCGTTCCTGCACACACGTCAGGACACCGCTGCTACGTGTGGCCGCCCAGCTGTCTGCAGGCTGTGCCAACTGCCGCCACGGTCTCCAGGAAGCAGAGGCAGAAGTGGTCCTTGCTGAGGAGGGCCATCGAGTCTCCGCTTAAATGCCAGCATAGAGAAAGCACGGCAAAGTCACCTAGAGAGACAGGCGGTCAGAGGATTAGAGCGGGAGAGGCACAGATCTTAGGGGCCGGGCACCCCTTGTCCTGCAGGCCAGCATAGTGCCTGGAGTGACCCACATAGGCAGAGACAGAGTGGAGCCCCAGAGCTGCCTCACGTCAGGGAGAGGCTGTTTTCTACCCTGTAAAGCCGAGGGCAGCGGGTCCCCTGTGCACTGGGCGCCAGCGTTGAGGTTTACACAAAGACGCTAAGGGCAGTTTCCCTGGCTGGAGATGGCTAGGCTTCACTGGTTCTGCCCGTGTGACACCAGACTACATGGAGCAAGGCTGATGTGTCTGTGCCCGCTGGGCCGTGCTCACCTTCACCAGGCACCTGCACTGACAGGCAGCCCGCTGGGGACCACAGGTAGACCCTGCTGCCGCCCGTGCAGATGGCCAGCCGCGGCTGCTGCGGGTCCCACTGAAACGCACGCACCGGGGACAGCTGCTCCAGCACCGCAAACAGCCTCAACTTCTGAATGTCCCAGACCCAGACGGCATTGGGGATGTTGTCTGAGGAAGGAAGGACAGAGCCCCGGTGTCATCCCAGCCCGTCTCCTCTGTGTCTGCTCCGCTGTGGACACCACAGGAGGGAGGGGAAGAACTGGATGGGCTGGGGCAGCTGGGCCCTGCAGTCCGGGTTCGGCTGGGCCGTGCAGAGCTCCTCGCCAGGTCCAGGGTGGCCACTGCGGGCTGTAAAGGGTCCAAGTGTGTGTTTTTCTTTGTGTGGTGTGGCGGTTTTTTTTTGTTTGTTTGTTTTTTTTTCAGCCTTTTACAAATGGAGAAACCCTTAACAAAAGACGGGCTGCAGTGTGCCCAGCCTGACTTTCTACTCGGTCGAGCGAGCAGGTGAGTGGGGCGGGGCGCTCCTTGCTCACACGCAGGCTGCCGCTGCTGCAGGACAGGAGGCCCAGCGTCTCCAGGGAGCCTGTGGGCAGAACCTCGGCTACTGCAGAAACGTGGAAGGAGGTGACATGTAGAAAGTCCCTAACTTTTCTTTCCAGTTGCTTCTACACCTGGGGCCACAGGCAGGACCCGGTAAGGGAGGAGATGGCACCTGTGTCAGCCCAACTGACCGTTCCTTGTCGCCAGGAAGTAGCTGTCAGGACTGAATGCCAGCATTCCTACGCCGATTTTCGGGTTTGCTCTGTCGGTGACAGGTTTCAGCGTCTGTAAGGAGACTGGGACTGAGGCGATCTCATCTAGAACACCAACAGGAAGAACACGCCGCTGTCACCCTTTCAGGAAGTATGCATACGGCTAGGAGTCTGCTGCGTCTGCATCAGGCATCGCAAACCCGGCTCCTCTGTTCAAAGGGGAGGAAGCGTGGCCTGAGGGCAGGAGGAGCTGAGCAGAGCCTGGCAGCTGCGGCGAGGTCAGGGGCCTGCCCGCAAGTGCCCTGGTGAGAGTGGCACCTTCACCTGCCAGGCCCAACTATGTCGGGGGTGGACCCCACGGCGCCACATGCTGGAGCGGAGGGGAGAGGGGTGTGGACAGGCCCCGGCTGCACTCCCGGCAGCTCCGCCTCCCCGGCGCTTTTCTGTCGACTGCCAGCATCTGAGTCCGTGATCCCCGCCATCTCAGCATCGGTACCCTTACACCTTTCAGCGGCAGAAAACCGTCATCACAGCGGAAGCAGAGGGTGTGGAACAAGGATGCCCCTGGGCTCCCAGGGAGCGCCTGCCACGTGCCCAGCTGCACCTGTCCTGACCCCCATCCTGAGCACACACCGGGCCCAGGATGGGCCTGTCAGCACTCAGGGCAGCGTTTTCTCTAAATGCAAACTTCAGACGCCCCCGCGCCCCTGTGGGATGGGTGCTTTTCCTGTGCCCATGTCAGCGATGAGGAAACAGACACACAGGAAATGCCCAGAGTCCAGAACCGGCCTCACGCCAGAGGCCGCACTGGGGCGCACCACCATGGAAACGCGTTTCCTTGAAAAATCACTCCTCTCAGGGCTCCCGCTGTCAAATCTGGGTTTCCAGGGCTCATATTCAGTAACAGAAGCCGCGCCTTCACAGCCCACTGTGCAATTCAGACCCCAGGCAACCTCCAGCCAACAGGCTCAGGGGCACACTGGCTGAGAGGAAGCACGGAAAGGAAAATGATTTTTTTTTTAATAAGGAACATCCAAAGTTTACCTGAACAATGAGGAATCTGGCATTAAAAAAGGAAAACAAACATCACCCTGCGTGGTACTTACATTTACTCTCCGGGGTCGGGAGAGGGCCAGCCCCCGCCCGGGGGGGCGGGAAGGAGAGGCAGCCCAACCCCAGCTGCGGGCTCTTCTCGGCCTCCTTATACATCACCTGAAAGACAAGGTGGCCACGCCCAGCTCAGGAGAGGGACCCGGAAGCCGAGGACGGGCGTGGCAAATGCCTGTCATGACACCAGGTCCTGCCGTCACCAGGAGAGACGGAAACACAAATCCCACACTCCCGAGCGCTGAGATCACCCAGCCCCCTCTCCCGTGTCCTGCTGGGAACCCACCTTTGAGACACCGGCAGCAAATGTCTGCCTTGTGATTTACAGGCGGGAGACCACTGCAGCCACCATCATCCAGCAGGGGAGTGGGCTCGGCCTTGCTGCTGTGACGGGGACACAGAGGACACTTGTGCCAAGACACTGCAGGCCTGGGAGCAGCAGACACAGGCCCAAGGCAGGGGCATCTGTGCCCGAGAGCCTGGCAGCAAAGGCCCGCGGCCCAGGTTCAGTGAAAGGCAAGCAGCCTCTGCGCCACTGCCCCAGGTAAGGGAGTCACCTGGCCTATCTGATACCTTTAAAGCATGCTCTGTTGCTGTGTGGTGAAGGGATTTGCAGAAATGTAGGAATCACAGGCAAACCGTCAGGACCTGCGTGGCCAGCCCTGCTCTCTGGCTCATCTTTCCAGATGGCCTGGCCTCCAGCCACGCAAGCCACTGGCCACGTCAGAAGGCCCCTCTACCTGAAACACGGTCTCTGCCGAGACACCGTGCGGCTCCTTAGCTCCTCCTCCTGGTCTTCACTCAAACACCCCTCCAGGACCATCCCCGGCAGTGGCTCACCTGGCCCTCGCAGCCCAGCCACCCACTAGCCCCAGCCACCCACTGGCCTCATCAAATCCAAGCCGCCTCTCACTGAGCTCTGTCACTTAATACAGGTCAGCACCAGGAGGGCAGCGTTTGTCTCTGGCTCCCGCTGTCTCCCAGTGCAGTGCCCAGCACACATAGGCGTGGCGAGTGCCCACTGCACACGTGGACATGTGGCACACTCCTCAGGGCCTTTGCGCTTCCTGTTCCCTTGACCTGGAACACCCCCTCCCCAGATCCCTGATCACTGGTTCAGCGTCTGTGCCTGTGATCCCTGGCTGGTGGCGACTCCCTGCCACCCCGTGGAGACACCCAGCTCTCTCGCCCCTTCCCCCGCTCTCTAGCTGCACTCTGCAGGGGCAGGGGTCTGTCTGCTGTCCTCTGGCTGCAGCCCAGAGCACAGTGCCTGGCACGACAGCAGATGCTCCGTGTTTGCGGGCAGGAGACCCGTCTACTCGGTACAGCACAGGGATCTGCATCTGGACAGACAAGCGAGACACCTGGGCCCAGGTGGCGGTGGTAGAGGACAGGCCAGGGCAAGGCCCACTTGAGACCCTTGGGCATCGTGGAGGAAGAACAAAGGCCGGGGCAGGGCCAGACACATGAAATATCACAGTCACAAGGCGATGGTGATGGAAGCGCCGGGTTAAATAAACCACCATCGAGAATGTGAAGTGAAGCGGCAGCCTCCCACCGCCCTCCCCAACAGCCTGCTCAGGCAGAAGCATGTGCTCCAGACTTACTATCTTGGGATTATTAATGGCTGCAGGATGCTCAAACTCCGTGATCATTTTCCACGTCACATGATTAAGGATGCGCACCTGAGGAAAGAAGCCACGCCCTGGTGAAGGGGGGGCCCAGGTGGGGTGGGGGGGCCAGGTGAGGCTGGGTCCAGGTGAGACAGCGGTCTGGGTGAGGAAGGGTCCAGGTGAGGCTGAGTCCAGGTAGCGCGGGGGCCCAGGTGAGTCGAGGGTCTGGGCAGGGCAGGGATCCAGATGAGGTGGGGACCGGGTGAGGTAGGGGACCAGGTGGGACAGGGGCCTGGGTGTGGGTTGGGGTCTGGATGGGGCGGGTCCAGGGGGTTCGGAGGGGCGGAGACTGGCTAGCTGGGCAGTCAGCCTTCCTGCGCTCCCTGCACTGCTCCCACCTTTCCGTCGTAGCTCCCAACTGCCAGGAACTGACTGCTGGGGCTCCAGGCCACAGACTTGATGCCCAGGGACCACTCATAGGCACTGTATGCGGACAACAACCGGCCGTCCAAGGAGTACAGCAGAATCTTGTACTGCAGACGAGACATTTCAGTTACGGATGCACACGTCCCACGTGCCCGGAACACGCCACAGATGCGGGTGCACAAAGGGACACGGTGCGGACAGCACAAGGCTGGTGGGAGGAAGTGTGCCACGGAGACACAGAGACGGCCCGCATGGCCGTGGAAAAGCTGGGACTGTCAGCTGAAATTGAGACAGTCACTGGAGAGGCGGTCAGAGCGTGAGGGGAGAGGGGAAAGCAGGAGGTAAACCTAACGGCTTGCTGATAAAAGTTCCACTCGGCCAAGCACCATGGCTCACACCTGTGATCCCAGCACTTTGGGAGGCCGAGGTGGGAGGATCACTTGAACACAGAAGTTCAATAGCAATCTGGGCAACACGGTGAAATCCCATCTCTACAAAGAACACAAACATCAGCTGGGCGTGGTGGTGCACACCTGTGGTCCCAGCTACTTGGGAGGCCGAGGTGGGAGGATCACTTGAGCCCAGGAGGTCGAGGCTGCAGTGGGCCATGATCATACCACTGCACGCCAGCCTGGGCAACAGAGCAAGACCCTGTCTTTTAAAACAAATTCAACTCATTTTATGAAATAAGGCAAAGCTAACTATATTACAACATTCAGAAAGCATTAAATTCAGGGGAAGGCTCTTGAAAGCAAGCATGTCATCTAGTCATCGCAATACCTCCAAGCAGGTGTCCCACACTGCCAGCACACAGCCGTTTGGGGCCCACTCGATCCCTGTGAGGTCCTGGGTGTCTGTATCAAAATGCTTCCAAAGGAAGCGAGGGACGTTACATTGTGAAAACATTTTCGTAAATAAATAATTGCATTTATAGTTGATGCTTTTAATGCATTTAACTTTCTTATATTGAAATGGTCAAAATCTTGACAGCCCCATCCTGTAAATGCATGAAATCCCCGTGGAGCTCTGTGGGGGCTGCACCCAGCACAGGTGCCAGCGTCGTGCCCAGCCAGCCCACAAGGTGGCTTGGTCTCCCTGTGCCTGCACTCACACACACTCTCCCTCACTCTTCCCTGCCTGGCAAGGCTCGCTCCTTCAGACCAGCTCAGACAGGACCCCTTCCAGGAGCACTGCCTGGGTCCCGGCTTCTATGGGCTGACAACATTCCAGAGGCTGCTCTGCCTTAACGATGGATTGTGCTGGGATCGTGTTCACATGTCTGCCATGGGGGCAGTGCCCTGTGCCTGGGCACCTGGCAGAGAGCACCCTGCCTAACACAGGCCCTCAGTCAAGGTGAACTTCCACGTTGCCCCTCCTCCTGACATGCCACACACATGTGCAAACACCACAGTCACAGGACAAGGAGAAAGGCTCATGTGTGACGGCCTAGTCACTTTAAAACACCCCAGGCATGCACCCTTTTCACACAACCGGCGTGTGTCACTGGGAAGCAATTCACAGTGCACCTGCCCTCTGGAAATCCAACACCACCTTACTCCATATCCAACCAAAGATCCCCTGGACTCTTGAGAAGGATCTCCTTCACTCGTCCCCTCCGCAGTCAGCAGGACAACTTTATCTAGTGGTGGGGGGACGCCTTACCCGCAGGAGCTGCCAGTCACTGCAGACGAAGATGCTCACGTAATCTTTGCAGTCGCGCCGTTCCGCCAGCGCCATGTAGCGGCCGTCCCTGGTGAAGGTGGTCCCTGCGGGAAGAGGGAGATGCACTGAAATCAATCGGCCACACAACCAAGCAGGAGAAACCACAGTAGTAATTCACAAGGAAGGAGGAGAAAAAGAAAGCAGAGGTGAAGAGGAGGGACGCAGCACAACGCCGAGCACTCCTCAGACGAGAACGTTCCGTGCAGACGAGAAGCCCTGGGGCGCTGTGGCTTCACCCTCGCCGCACAGTGGGAGCTGGGGGAGGGTTGTACACACACAGCAACCGGTTTGCAAGGCTGTGTCAAAAATACCAAGTGACGTGACCTCTGATGACTCACAAATATGACTGAGACACACGAGGCCTTCGAGTTCCACGTCTAAGCTGCGGGACAGCAGGGGCGTGTCCACCTAGGCCGAAGGTGGCTGCTTGCCACCGTGCTGATTTTTACCTTGAACTTAATTATTTGTAAGAAGTAAACTAAAGATGAAATGTGTGGCCAGGCATGTGGCTTACTGAAATGTGCGGCCGGGCATGTGGCTTACTGAAATGTGCGGCCGGGCATGTGGCTTACTGAAATGTGCGGCCGGGCATGTG